CCTACCAGTGTACTGCAGAAGGCCCTTCACAGCATCTCCCTGACCTGCACTTCCAGTCTCACCTTGCTCTTCCTCACATCCCTGTCTCCCCAGGGTAGTCTCTGCTCACACCCCAGAATTCCTCACCATTCCAGGCATTGTCTGTGATGTGTACTCATTCCAGGGTTCTGCACATGTTGTTCCTTGCCCAGTCTTCCCTCAGAACTCTGTTCAGCTGGTACCCTTGCTGTACTGATACCCCCATACCTGCTAGATGATTGTTGTCCCTTTCATTGGATTGCCTCACATAAGGGCTTCAATTTTTTTTTTAACCAAGACCTGTAGTAAAACATTCATTTTGTATTGCAACCCAATAATCATGACATGGGCTGATACTAAATATAGCTTTATAAAATATTGTAAGAGGGGTTGAAGGGCAGGTAGGAAAATGGGGAAAAAAGAATCAAGTTGTACCATATACAGGTGCAAATTCTCCAAAATGTACCAATAAATTTAATTAATAATATAATATATGAGAGAGCGGGACGTCAGGCTTCTGCACTAGAACTTTCCTTGTGGTAACGAGGGAAGACCAGTGACCACCCAGTGCAGAAGCTGCAGCAGGTTTAAAAATTGGTGATGTTGAGAAAGGCAAGAAAATTTTTGTACAGAAGTGTGCCCAGTGCCACACTGTTGAGAAGGGAGGCAACCACAAGACCGGGCCAAATCTCCACGGTCTCTTTGGGCAGAAGACAGGTCAGGCTGCTGGATTCTCTTACACAGATGCCAACAAGAACAAAGATATCACCTGGGGAGAGGATACATTGATGGAGTACTTGGAGAATTCCAAGAAGTATATCCCAGGAACAAAAATGATCTTTGCTGGCAGGGGGAAGGGCTGGCTGGCATGTGGTGCTGGGGGATCAAACCGCAGTCCCTGTGCTTTCACTAAGCTTGTTCTAAGTAGGTGCTTTAGACCACTGAGCCATCTCACCAGCCCAGCTCAATTCCTTAAGTGACTGCTTTAACAAAGCTGTCAGGCTCAGGTTGCTGTGGTTCGAGCCCCACAACTGAAGCCAGCCAAACCTGCCCTGAAGGCATTCGGAGCAAAAAAAAAAAAAAAGAAGGGAGAAAGGGCAGACTTAGTAGCTTACCTCAAAAAGGCTACTAATGAGTAATAGCCACTGCCTTATTTATCACAGAACAGAAATGTCTCACAGCTTTTGTATGTGTACCATAATTTAATCTCATACACCAGAATTCAGATCATGAGTGGTTGACAGAATACTTTTGTTGGACAGTCCTGATGTAAATAAAATTGGCTTGTAGTTAAGTGTATATCATTTTTTTCTTCAAGGGTTGATAGTAATTCCAGTTCAGCAAATACTATCACTGTTTTCCCTTCTAAATACATGGTTGGACTTAATTAGTAATGTTCAACTTTTCCCAAAGATTGAGAATATCATCTCAAAACTACTGATGGTTGGTTTTATATTTAGATTTATATAACTGGTTATGTGAATATGTTTAAATAGTGAGAGAATCTTTTATTGTCTCAAAACCAAGCAAGACTCCTCAGTTTCAGTTTGTGTTTATTAGCCTGTTAAAGGAGTGGTTGAAGACAAGAAAGCTACGTCTATATTTTTAGTCTTCACTATGCCAATTTAATTAGAATTCCCTATATCTAAAAAGTGCTGCCTTTTACTTATTGAAAGGAATTTTAGTGTGGTGTATGTATAATACCAAATAAGGAATATTTAACATTTTTCACATTTTATAGTTGATCTGTAAATTCAGATCCTTTTAAGAGTTAGCATGATATAACAGGTCAGACTGAGTTTTTGATTTCTTTAGATCACACTGAGTTACTGTTCATGGTAGTATTTAAATAGCTATTCAAAAACACAAGACTGGGGCTGGAGAGATGGCTCAGTGGTCTAAAGCACCTACTTAGAACAAGCTTAGCAAAGCATCAGGGACCGCGGTTCAATCCCCCAGCACCACATGCCAGCCAGCCCCGCCCCCTGGTGGGCTGAGCTGGCCACACATACACCACACACACACACACACACACTCTCTCTCTCTCTCTCAAATAAAAAAAAAAAAACCAAATAAAAAAAAAATAAAAAAAAAAAAAAAAAAACCACAAGACTAAAACTCTTACTGTTGTATGTGTGATTGGTAGTGGTGCTTCCTGTCAGCTCATTAGAAGGACTAAAGTGAGGAAGGTACAACATGAGCACAAATTTGTATGTGACCATAATACTTAATTAAAAACAAATCACATTAAAAAATAATATAATATGTATTTTCCAAAGACTCATGTGCGCCAAGGCTTGGCTCCCAGCTTGGTGCTTTGGTTTGTTTTTTTTTTTTTTTGGTCCTCGAATGCCTTCGGGGCACTTTTGGCCAGCTGGAGAGGTGTGAGGTTCGAACTCCAGCAACCTGAGGCTGACAGCTTTGTGGAAGCAGCCACTTAAAGGACTGAGCTAGGGCCAGGCCCCCCCAGCTTGGTGCTTTGGGAGGCAGTGGAAACTTAAGGAGGTGGAGCTGAAGTGGAGGTCTCTAGGTTGTTGGGAATGTGTTCTCGAAGGGGATTGCAGGACCTGCTCTATTCCATTCCACCCCTACCCCACCATCAGGTGAACAGTTTTGTCTGTCTGCCACACATTCCTGCTGCCTCACCAAAAGCCTAGAAGCATCAGGGCTAACTATCAGGGACTAAAACATCCAAAAAGGTAAGTCAAAATAATCTTTTTCTCTTTATAATTTCTTTAGTGACAATTTGTCATAGTGACAGCTGAAAATTTTGAATTATTTTTTCCATGTGGTGAGAAGTAAGGATTAGTGTCCATTGATTTCCATACAGGTGCCTGGTTGATTCAACAGTTGATCCAATTGATTTTGGTTTAGCTACAGAGTAATGCTTCAGTCAATACCATATAAGGAAATTCAAAGGCAATCAGGCCTACATTCTTCAATTCAATAAACACTTGTGAGGGCCGGGGAGATGGCTCAGTGGAATAAGTGCTTCCCTGGCAAGTGCAAGGGCCTGAGTTCAATCCCCAGTTCCGCCAAAAAATAAATAAATAAATAAATAAATAAATAAACACTTGTGAATAACTTAGTGTTGGAGTCTCTAGCAGATTTTGGCAACAAGTAATGAAGAATAGGACACAACCCTGCCTTCAAATAGATTACATTTCAATTGTGGTGATTCTAAAATGGAATCGTGCAGTAAACATAAAAATAATCACCATGTGATGTGAGAAAAATACATAAGAGCTGTGTTTTTGTTTTTGCTTTTTATGTATTTGGTACAGGGTCTCACTATACAGCTTGGACTTGTAGTGATACTCCTGTTTTAAGCCTCCCCAGAACTGGGATTACAGGCATATGCCACCACGCCTCACTTCCTAATTAATTCTTGACTTCATCTAAATTCTCCCATCTTTGAACACATCTTTTTGATTTTGTTGTCTCCTATATAAACACACACACACACACACACACACACACACATTCAGAATAGCAGGAAAACTGTTATAAACAACCATTAAATTTTAGACATTTAATACACCAAAACTAGTATCAATCCTTTCATTTTCCTTTAACTCTGTGTGCTCATAATCATTTCTAATAACAGTACTTTAGATGAAACAACAACCCAATTTCCTAATACATTTATTGTTGTTTTGTCAGTTGACCCAAAATAGCAATCCTCAAAAAGGAGGTGCTATTGTTTTGATTAACCCTAACTGCCAGGATGGAGCAGGCATCATCTATATGTCACATCATGACGTAAACCCTATTCAAGCCAGGTGTGGTGGCATACACCTGCAGTCCCAGCACCTGGGAGGCTAAGGCAGGAGCACAGAGGCACACCATAAATTCAAGTCCAGCCTAAGCTACATAGCAAGGCCCGATCTCAACCAAAATGAACAACAAGGAAACAAACCTTTTGGAGTATAGAAATACATACCATCATGATTTTTTACTTTCATTTTTGGGTCTCTATGGGTTCTATAAAGCTGAGGAATTAATAAAGTACATACTCTTTCAAGAGATCAAGTTTACAATCTCCAGGGGGCGGTGTCACGCGGGCGGGAGGAGCGCGTCCCTGCCGGGAGCCGCGTCCCACGGTAGCCGCGGTCCTGCGCGAGCGAGCCAGCGGAGCGAGCGAGCCGCGCGGTCTTCCCAGGAATCTCCTGTGGCCACGCGGAACTCTCACCATGCCGGAGCAGAGCAACGACTACAGAGTGGCTGTGTTCGGGGCGGGGGGAGTGGGCAAGAGCTCCCTAGTCCTGAGGTTTGTGAAGGGCACGTTCCGGGAGAGCTACATCCCCACCGTGGAGGACACCTACCGGCATGTGATCAGCTGTGACAAGAGCATCTGCACGCTGCAGATCACCGACACCACGGGCAGCCACCAGTTCCCCGCCATGCAGCGGCTGTCCATATCCAAGGGCCACGCCTTCATCCTGGTCTACTCCATCACCAGCCGGCAGTCTCTGGAGGAGCTCAAGCCCATCTACGAGCAGATCTGTGAGATCAAAGGGGACGTGGACAGCATCCCCATCATGCTGGTGGGCAACAAGTGCGATGAGAGCCCCAGCCGCGAGGTGCAGAGCAGCGAGGCCGAGGCATTGGCGCGCACGTGGAAGTGCGCCTTCATGGAGACCTCGGCCAAGCTCAACCACAACGTGAAGGAGCTGTTCCAGGAGCTGCTAAACCTGGAGAAGCGCAGGACCGTGAGTCTCCAGATCGACGGCAAGAAGAGCAAGCAACAGAAAAGGAAAGAAAAGCTGAAGGGCAAGTGCGTGGTCATGTGAAGACCCTGGTCGCCCTGCACCGCAGAGGGGCAGCTGCGCCTGGCCGCGTCCCTCCCCAGTGCACCCTCCCCATCCGGGCAGCATGTCTGAGGCCCACGTGTGACACATTGCATCTGCCCGAGCGCACCCTCATGTCCCTATGGGGTGGTCCATGCCACTCCACCATCAGCCATCCTTCTCTAGAGCCACAGACCTGCCAGGGGGCGAAAAAGAAGTGCAAAGCTGAGGCCTGTGGAGAGAGGTGCCAGCCACTGTGCTGGCAGGCAGTTTTGGCCATTAGGAGTTAGGAAGACTGGACCCTGGGAAGAAGGACAAGCAGAGGGGACGTGTGTCACCTACATGCATGTTGAATGTGTAAGCCCTGAGCTACGGGCACCAACCCCACCACAAGCATCTCTCCCTGCTCAGAAGCCAGTAGCATCTTGGGGGTGGGGATGGTGAGAAGGCCAGCTGGTCCCACGTGAGCAGAGTGGTTCCCTCGCAAGGTTTTTAGGTGGACACCCTCCCCAAAGGATGTGTGTGCCCTGTCTGTTCTCCTGCCTGGCCCTGAGGGGATGAGTCACCTCCTGTAGATCTAGTTAGCACGCATCTTGTCAGCCAAGTAGAGCACTTACTTTCACATGCAACAATGAGTTCACACACAGTGCGCTCTTGTGTCAGAAGTTCTTCAACTATTGAGTACTGGTATCGTAACATTCTAACACAACGCAATAATGTTCTTGTGTGTTACACTTTGAGGGTTTTAGAAATGTGAAGTTTCTTTCCTTTGGTCTGATAGGGCTGTATCTTCTAGCCCTCATATTTTTAAACAAAAACAAATAAAGTAGCTATTTTTAAACTTTC